GGACGTATCACGCGGAATCGACACATAGCTACAATTTATTTTGTGTTATTTATTTCTGTGTTTGTTATATCTACGGAGACTCGAGAGACTCTATGTGGTGATTTCTTGCAACCGTGAACGAATCAAAAGACGAGATAAGATTAACGAGAACATTTATTAGCTTACATACGTCCGACTTGGATTTTACACAAATTGCGAAATTATACCCAGACTTACGCGGTTATTGCTCGGTCCCACCTGTCGCGTAAGTTCGGGGTATTACTGTACAAAGTTGAAAGTCAGCTATATACTGACAGTTGAAACAAAGCAAGGGAAAGCTAATTGCCATTCGTGCCCCTGAAGTGAGTGCTCTCAAGAGCCCCACTAAAGGGATATGAATGTGAGTAGATGATGGAACATTGTATGTGTGTGAATGAGTTGGTGCGTTGCAAGGCCAGTTGTACCATTCAAGAATAGCAGCTCTTATTAAACTATCCCTAATGTGATTGTACCTATTGCAACAAAAAACTAAGTGAAGTGGTGTTTAGTCTTCCTGAATACCACAATCGCATTGTGGATTGTCCCCAAGGTTAAATCTATGCAAGTATTGCTTAAAGTTGCCATGTCCTGTATGTAGCTGAGTGAGGGTGTGACTAGGTAAAAGTGGTGAAGAATCGCAGTAGTGTCAACCTTGAGGATGAAAGTGTAGGGTCCCAGCTGTCTTGCCAGAGAATGAAGATTTGCTTTTTGACGTGATTGTTGATCGTGAAAGTAAGATAGGAATGTAACTGAAAGTACTAGTGACTGAAGACTTTGCAGCTTGTTTGGCAAGACGGTCAGTGGTCTCGTTGCTGAGAACCCTCACATGACCCAGGACTCATTGGAAATCTATTCTAATGTAGTTGTCTAAGTATCTGAGAATGTGGTGTATGAGATGGACGAGTTTTAAGCAGCTATCAGACTTTGCAATCCTGTGTAAAGCTATTCTACTGTCAAAATAAATGCGATAGTGTAAATAGTGTCTTTTGTTTTTCTTATGCTTAATGTGAATTAAGCTCATATAAAAAGCTAAAGTTTCTGCCTGTGTTATTGAGCAGTGTGTACCTAGACGGAAGCAAGTGTTGTGAAGCTCATGATCTAAGTCAGAGTAAACTACAAAAGCAGTACCCACATTGTCACCTATCTTGGAACTGTCAGTGTAAATCCTAAACATGGGATGATCACCTGGATCTTTGAAGAAAACATCAGGGGCAAGGTGATGGGAAGGGTGGTAATTGTAAGTTGAGAGGGTATTTTTATCAATGCTGAATTTTTTGATATCGTTGATCAAGGACAAACTGGGGGAATCTTACCTACTCTTAATCATTTTGTTGGCATCCAAGTCGCTATAATCTTGCTGGGATAAGGTGAATGACAACATTTTCCTGCCAAATAATGCATTTAATTTCTAAGTCAATAGAGATCAATCCTGACATTACCAAAAGGGCACTAGTGGGTGTGGTCCTATAAGCCTTACAAATGGAGAGCTGCAATCCTTTGAACAGATAACAGTTTTTTATGGTTATGGACTTGTTCGACCACGTGGCTCCAGACCTGTACGGCATAGAGGAGTGCTGGCTGAATTTGGGAAAAAGGCATTTGACCCTTATACTACTTAAACTACCTTTAAACTAATAACTTATAACTTAAATCAAGGAAAAAAACAGAACTGAAAACCAAAATACTGCAAAAAAGTATAACTGAAAAACATGAAAATGGGGTAGCCTAGAAAGACGAAACTAATAGGGAATAAAGCACCTATTAAGGGAACAAATTACAAAAGGAAAACTAACTACAAAAAACAGAAACCACGAAAAAGCCAAAATTGAAAAAGCTATGAAAACACAGTTGAAACTGGCCTAGTAAGGCCTAACTATGAATTTACAACTGAAAAGGATGAAGAACAACTCAAAAAAACCTGAAAAAATATTGCAATGCAGTAAAAACAAACCAGAAAAACTCGAAAACTAGTTGACTGAGAGAAACCAAAATTATAGGGGAATCTGTACACCCGGAGACGTAACTAACTACAAAAAGAGATCTAACTTAGACCTAAACTAAGACAAGACTAACTGAAAAACCAGGGCTGTGCAGTTGCGTAAAAATCTACTGACTCCGACTCCGGCTAAAACATCAAAACTCCACGACTCTGACTCCAACTCCACAGCCCTGTGAAAACACCCTAAAAACTGAAAATTTACAAAAGTCAGCCAAAAACAAGGTGATCGAGTGGAAGTTGAAAAGGAGTAAATTTAAATTGATTAAATCAAGGAAACAAACTGTTTCTCCCTGGCAAAGCCAAAACAGAAACTGATCAAACTAAGCCTAACAAATGAGAAACAAGTGAAACTGAAAAACTGACTCAAAATCTAAGCAGTAACACAAATACTAACTAAAATGACAAAAACAGCAGGGAAAAAACACTCAATAGAGCCCAAGAAACACAAAAGTAGACCTCAGTAGAAAGCTCACCAACACAGGCAAGATGTAGGCAGAGGAACTCATATACAGTACATGTGCGATAAACAGTTTCTGTATCAACCTACCTCATTTTTGTGATATTTTTAGAAAAATAATATCCAAGTAATTTTTGCCTGCAAAATATTCAAAAAACAATAAACACATTTGTAGTAGTGTCACAGTGTGGCAACATTTCTCTTCCCACAGTAGTTAGTCTTTTGGACTGGCAGCACTGTTTTTCACTGTATTTGAATTTGTAACAGTCATGCATTTTAAACATGAATAAAATCTTTTGTTATGGTAATGTATTTGTCTCTTTATACTATAGCATTAATGCAAAAATCAGTTTTACAGGCAACTTTCCTTTTTCGACTCCATGATTGTCATTGATGTAATGAAATCATATTATGATAAGAAATAATAAAATGGTTTATTATTAAACAAATCAAAGGCAAGTCTGTCCAAGAGGGATCACCATTTATTTTGCATTCCAGACTATACACATACACATTCATGGCAACAGGCCTTCCTTTTTAGGCTCCATGCCGCCAAAGGTAAAAAAGTCCTTTAAAAAATACAAACATCCAATCAAAACTAAAAGGAATTGGTGACACACAGATGTCTTACTTCTCATCCATCTGGCCAATGGGGTGGTTTTGTTTTATATCTACTAGAACAGGTGCTGGAAAATGTAGATTTTGAAGCTGCCCCCTGGCGACGGTACATTAAAAAATTTCTTTTTGTTGAATTTTTCTGTCCAATGGCGAGATTATTATTAAACAAATCAAAGACAAGTCTGTCCAAGAGGAGTCACCATTTATTTTGCATTCCAAACTATACACATACACATTCATGGCTTTATTATTGATTAATAATTTTTCTGATTGTACTTAAGAAAATAAAAAATATTTTAACTTATTAAATATTTTTAAAAAACATAGTAAGGTTAAACTAATGAAAACTAAAATGGAAGTGGGGGAAAGATACATTGCACTTCTATATCGATGACGTAATACACATAACTGAGGAGCGAATGAAGAGAACTAAGTTGAATTAATTAAGCCGGGAAAAAAGAAAGTGTGTATTATAATTGAAAAATGCAAATACTGTATTAATCTTTAAAACATTGATATTAAATCTGTCTTATAAAATCATGATGACTCTTGTTAATCGAGTTATCTGATGAGAATAAAATACAATACCAATATAGCTCTACCATTGAAAAAATTCACTTAAGTTTTGCTTAGTAGAAATGGCTAAAATGTGTGCAAAATACATATGGAAATGCAATATTACAGCACCATCTGCATTAGACGACCACCTGTATAAAAGACCACTTTTTGAAAGGAACCGTGAGTTGTCGCCATAGACAGGTTTTACTGTATTTAAATCTTTTTATTACCATATTTTAATATATCAATAAATTATTATTTATTAAGTTATTAAACTATGTATTTTATCATTATAATCATATCTAGTAACAATACTTTTCAAGTACAGTAAACTCCTGATTATCTGTGTGCGGATTATCCGGTTTGCAGATTATCTGTGCATGAATTTAATTTAAAAAAAAAAATAATTATATGTGTATGTATTTTTAAAATAGTTGCTTGCTTTCATGTTTATGCATCCTATAAGTGTGCATGTGTTCATATTTAGATGGTGGGGTATCTGAAGACAGCTGGACTGGTTTTAGTTAGGCTACTTCTTTCATGTCGGATGTTTCTTTTTGGAGAAGAAAACAATACATTTATACAAAGTTTAGTTTAGTTTCATGTTATAGTACTTATACATATGTACATACAATCAAATCTTAAATTGTAATAATACATATTATACATAATATTTTTTTTCAAATAACTCTCCCACAAATACTTTTAGTGTAAAATTACGTAAAATAAGATGTTTTTTTAATTTTCAGATAAGTACCCTTAAAATGCCTAATAATCGAAAGAAAGTCGTACTTACTATAAAACAAAAACTAACGTTAATTGAAAATTTTGAAAAAGGTGAATCTACATCGAATCTACATATTGTATTTTAGAAATAAATAATTATAGTTTGGATTATTTGTGCCACCTCTCCCCACCACTAGCCCGGATAATCGGGAGTTTACTGTATAAAGTAAAATTTAAATTAACACTGCTTGAACTTTGGTAAAGATGATATACTAGCCATGTGATAACTTAGCTGGACAAATTACTGGCACTTTAATAACAGAATTTTTCTTCTAAAATCCCATCTCATCAACTGCTATCATTATAACCCACCTATTCACTCTACTTTATCCAAATCTACACCTTCATCTTTCCTTCCAATGCTTGTACTCCATGGATGACCTGTTAGTCAAAAACATTAGTGGTGTTCTAAAATCCTGCTGTTAAAGATGCAATAATTAGCCTAATTAAGTTTGGTTCATGATTAACAAATTTTCTTTTTGAAAAATTAACATTGAAATACTGTAATCTCAATATTTAATAGTAATGAAATTTAGAAGTTTATTTTTGAAATTAATATTTCAGAATATTGCAACTCGACAGTTTTTACTAACAAATTTAGTGGAAATAAATAAGGAAGTGAAGTGGCGTTGTAACTTAGATGTCATTTTGGACAAATTTGTTACGGGAGTTAGCACTTTCCCACCAGTAATGGCAAAATTCGACAAGGATACGTTATTTATTTGTGGTGAACGGTCTCCGTATGTCTTGTGAGTAGTATTAAAATCTTGTATTTAAAATTGATCATATAAAAAAGTATATTTCATTAATAAATCTTGAATGCTTCAGAAAAGAAGATCATGAAAAAATAAGAAGTATATTTCCCAAGGTAAAGTTCAGTTATGTGGAGGGAGCCGGTCACTGGGTCCATTCTGAAAAGCCATCCGAATTTTTAAAGTTGTTAATTGAATTTATTCAAAATAAAACAGACTGAAGTTTGTCAAGTTTAACAGCTTTATTTATGTAATAAATAAAGTTTATTAATAAAATACAGTAAAATTTTTATATTAATAACTTTGAATAGAATTTAATATAATAAATTATTTTTACAAAATAAAAATAAGAATGGTACTTTGGAAACAAATACAATATAAGGAATTAGAATGAATATGCTTTTTTGAAACAATGAGAAAATGTTTTAGAATGATATATTCCTTACTTTTAAAAAATGTCTTGTAGAAGAAATTTAAAAATTTCTTTTGATTTTTCTTCATCANAATTATGTATATATATATATATTTTAAATTAAGTAAATAAATAAAAATATATTTAAAATTAACTAAATAATCTTAAAACATTTTAGATGAGGGGTTCCCAACCTAGTTACTAGTAATCTCTAAAGGGATGAATACATAAAATTTTATTTCTTATTTCAAATAAGAAATTATGAATGTTGGTAGAAAGGGATTGGTAAATCAAATCTAATTTTGTAACGATAACAATAAGAAAAATAGATTGGGAAACTCTGTTTTAGTTCATAGATTACTAATAAAATGGATTTTCTTCTTATTTGTGATGCATCTAACTTTCATTAAACATACAGATGTATTTAACAAATGGAAGCTGCCTGATGCATGCAATTAAACAGCTTTGCTGCTGATCCTGGGATATTATATTTGCATTATTTGTAACAAAAAAATATATAAATTTCTTAAATTAAAAAATACATATAATTGGTATTTCTTAAATTTTAGTCTTTTTAAAATTCATTGAAAGAGAAAAAGAAAACAATGTGAAAGGTGATACTTAGCAAATTACTATAAAATATATATTACAGTAATTGACATCTGATTCTAAATGTGTAACTTATAAAATTTATGGATAAACAGGTTTACATCTAATAAACAAATATGGCAACATAGCAAGAATAAAATATGAAACAGAAGACAGTTCCTGTTGACAAAAGTAACAAGTTGTACTTAGACTACATACTAACAGAACTTTTACTTAATCATATTTTAAATATGGTAAGATACTGCTCTTTATCTGGATGAAAAGGAACATACGGCAAAGAAGGGTTGAGTTTCCTTTTAAAAAAAGCTATTAAAGGCTTGGCAAATAAAGCTGAGAATAGATAAAAAGCCAAGTAAGGCAACGTTCCTCTCATTCTAGCAGTGAAAATTTTAAATGTCATAAATCATATTTGTCCGCAGATAAGTATAAAAACTTAGGATCTTTGGTAACCACATTTGCTTATTCAATAATTTTCTTTCACAAATGTAACCAAACATGGTTAAAGTTTACAATATGGCGCTTTCTACAGTGTTAAGGTCATATGTACAAAGTTTGTATTTTTGAGATTTTTATAAGGGTCATTACAATAAAATTCTCATTAAATCATTTCTGGTAGTAGGTTATTTGTTGTAAAAAGAGAAGACACTGAGGTCAGCGTTACATGTGTGTTTTTTTTTTAATCGCTAGTACTTTCAACAAACATATAGTCGTCGTCATCAGGCGAATACGAAGATTTACCGAAAGAATTAAACGGAAATAATCCGATTTGGAATAGAACGCTTAAATTTAAGTTGAAACTTTAGTCAAAGTTGTTAGGAACACGATAGAAATATTCAAAAATGTTCGAAAAACGAACTAGCAGAAAGCTCCATGATGTGCGAATATGCGCATGCGCAGATCTAGACACACACTATATGCATTCTGGAGAATGCTAATTTTTACTTAATTGCTTGTATAGTGTGACCCATACACTGGGCAGCTCGAGAGTTGGAATGTTGCACGTGTCAAAGGTGGTAGTAAGAAGAGACTCCCATATGAAAACAATTTTTCGATCCTTACAGCTCTTGAGCATAACTGCTTGGGACCATAGCGGGTTGTAACCCTGCTCAAGTACTTTTCTTGCGAGCTCGGTGGTGTGTCTACCCCTCGCAACATCATTTTGGTGCTCTTCTAGTCGGCTGGCAAGCATTCTAGTAGTGGCCCCGACATATCTTTCGTTTACTCCTGTTGTAAGGTTTTCCAGAGGTACAGCATAGACCCCCGACTTCTCAAGCGTGGAAAATTTGTCCCTATCGTTACAAATGAGTTTGTGTAGGTTTGGAAGTGGGGTTAGTGGTAGTATAAGGCCGTGCTGCTTAAAGATTCTGCAGATACGTATAGAGGGGGTCCCAGGTATGGCAACGATGTTTGTACCATTGAAAATTCTCTTTTACTGCATAATGTGGTACTTGGAAACAGTGATTTCTTTACCATATTGAGCACGTGTGTAAATTTTGCACGTGAAAAGCCAGCAGTGCGCACCCCCAAACTTATGTTGTCTAACTCCATGTTTACCAGCTCTTGCGAAGATGATAGTAAGTAAGCCCTTCTAACGAGAGAGGCAATGGCAGCATTAACATATCGAGAAGGCTGAAAGGCCTCTGCTGATATAATGTGTGGAGCTATGCTGGACTTGTGATGAACCGAGAATTGTAGTCCTTCCGAAGATTTACATTGTCAGTGTCTTCTCTTTTTACAATATAGTATTTTGGCGTGATCGTCAGCATATTGATCACCAGGTTATTTGTATTTTGCATTGCTGAATTATTGCAACCCTAAGTTAGCTGTATAAATTTGACATGGTGTTGTAATTTATCACTAAATATAAATGATTCAGGTACATTTTTATGGCAAGGGAAAATAAATGTTTCGTATCTTCTATTGTTTTGTTAGTGAGACATTATGAATAGAAAATTCCATATTGTGTTTACTTTTACCATAATGAATTAACAAAAATGAATCAGCAATTAAGATTTAAGAAAGGAGCAATATCTTCTGAAAACCATCGTTTAAACAGTTATAGTATTTTCACAGTGAAGAATCTGAAATTTAAGTTTTGATGTAGAAAACACACAAGTATTACTTACCTGACAAATGCAGAAACAAAACAGAGAATCTATTTCTTTCTTAAGTCAAGAATCATGAAATGCTGTCAATAGAATACTGAACAAAATGCCTTAAATTCAAGGAAAAAGCTGAAAACTTTGATATTTTACCAAATACAACTGTCCCAGATAGACACTTCTTGTTCAAATAATAATGAACTTGTTTTACATGTAATTTATTTGTTTATTTAAATAATAGAAATAATGCTGTAAATCAAGAAAAACTTTTAACTTTTAATCTGTTTAACTTTTTTTGCAGGTATTCTTTCTTTGCTAAGAGAAGCAGTTATGTTTAGTCCTTGAGGTTTTTACTATAATAAAGAATAAACCTCTTCCCATATATAACATTAGAATTCTTATTTATAATTTTTAACCTATTTTCTACTTCAACCATTGCGAAATTAATTAGTTTAGCATGAATCAATTAATCTTCAAGTATGTTTGATAAACCTTTCTTTAAAATTCAGTTTTTGCTGTTTCAATCATTGAAACATTGACAAATTAAAGAATTTTTTAACCTGGTTAGATAAATTTGAAACTGAATCAAATTGAAATGCTTACTTCTTCATTTTAATACATAACATATAAAAATAAAAATAATTACAGTATATACATACACTTTATCTGTTAAGAATTGGTTAAGATTAATAATACTGTTTTTATTCTCTTTACTGCATACACTTCTCTCTTTGGAAAATAAATTTTCTTTCTCTTCTAAAGCAGTCAGTCTGTAATAAAATTTTAAACATTAATAAATTTATAATAAATTACATATTATCTATATTTGTAGTTAAGAAATTTCTTGAATAATTTCTATAACCTGTATTCAATATCTCCTAAAAATGCTAAACTAAACAACAAGGAATTTTAGTAAAAAAATGACTGATTGCTTGATCTCAAAAATTAATTAATGATACCTCTAAATCATTACAGCTATCATTATTGGAATTAGCAAATGTACATAGTTTGAATTTGTATATCTACGAAATTACTTTTAAAACATTCAGTATAAAAATTTCATTTAGCCAAATTTAAGTGATAGCTGGATGACCAAGCAATTGTGAGATTAGCAGAGGGCCACAGGGGTTAATCCCTTCTGACCACTTACACTGCACAGACTGGCAAAACCTGTTCTCGGATTGTCGGATGGCTTAGGAGGGCAAAAAGTGAGTGGGGAGTGCGTCGGTAAGTCGACGGGTGTCCTTTAGAGACAGGAGACAGGTTTAACAAACTATACAAGCATTTATTATATATAACTAAGCTAGGATACATAGGTTAAATGCAGTTAAATAAGTTCACTATACAAAAGGGCCACTCTAACAGCCAGAGAGAGAGAGAGAGAGTTCACATAGCTCTAAAAAATACAAATACCTCTATGAGGATATGTGTAATATGCGTTTGTTGAATGGGCCATATGAATTGTAATCGGCACAGGAACTGCAGAATGTGGCGATATGTCCAAGGTAGGGAGACAAGATGCACACAATTATAAGTATAACTTCCTTTGCTCGCCCGGAGCTTCTGGGACTCGAGCTTTTATACGTTCTTCTTGGGAAATAAGTCACACGATCAACTTTTATTGACACTAACAGTGCATTCCGATCAACTAAGTGTGAAAACAATTGGTGACCTCCGATGTACTTCTCACCAAGAGTGTTTTTTTTTATTGGAGTTGTTTACAAAGATTTTTCCGACATTGGCATAAAAATCGTGGATTTCACACAGTTAAGATGGCAGTCTACAGTAAATATGACATACCAAACCTATAACCGATGCGTATCCAATTGTTCTTTCAACGACAAACGTTTTCTTAACCCCTACTGGCAGTCTACTGCTCTGGGATCCCAGGATGAAATTCAGATGGGAACAACTCCAGGGCCCTTAGTCTCGAGTTTTTCGTGTTACAACTCCCAACGTGTTGAAGGTGTCACGTGGTACCATCTCACACTCTGATGTCAAATCGGTAGTCTCCAGTTATAACTCACATGCTTTCCCATCTCACCATGCGAGTTGCTACTCACGTTGAGTCGAGCATGTGAGATCGCTACACGAAAGTGAAAATGGCTGACAAATACGCTATTCTGATGGCAATCGAAGCGTTAGAAAGAGCCGAAAGAGTTGTTTAAGAAGTCAACGAATTTTTCGAACACGAGTAGATGCCATTTCTTTTTATGTCAAGTCATCACTAATAAAAAATTTTAATTCATAATTGATAAAATTATATAGCAAATTTTTCCAAAAATAAAAAGTATCTTATTCATCGACAAAAAGAATTATAATGATAGTAAATTATATGTATAAATTATTAAGAGCATAGACACTATATTAAGATTATTTATTAATCATTAGTGTTAAGTTCTGATTAATAAATAATCTTAATAAACAAAACAATTTAATACGAGATCAAGGAAGAAAACTATGTGAAAAAAGGATTAAATTAAAATACTTTTTCCATTACACGGCGGATTTTTTAGCTCCAATACATAATTAATTTTTCAACTAATTCTCTCAACAAATCAAATTGTCTTTTTCTTGTAAATTCGTTGTCGAATTTTATATTGTTTGTTTTCTTATTATTTTCTATATATGTTACTAATACTTCTTTTTGTTCTTCGTTTCTTTTTTAAAATAAAATATTGGAGGTTCCCATTTTGCTATAGGACAAAACTTTTAACTATAACACGTGTAAACTAATTCGCGTTGATTTGTTTACAACTTGTTACAGTAAAGTTGATTGGTCAAATCAGTATAGTCGCAAACCCAGATGCATTGTAAATAATCCCATCATGCTTAACGATACACGTAAACAAGTGAATATGACCTACTTCCGCTCGCCTTTCGAGCTCGCTCGATGGGTCTAACTCGAGACTACCGATTATGTGAGTCACAGTAACACGAGTGAGTTCGATGACGTCAATTCGAGTACAACACGAAAAACTCGAGACTAAGGGCCCAGGAATTATTTGAGAGGGAGACTGATATGTTGGGCCCCATCCCTCACCGTCTGGTCACCCCGTAATTGTGTACTTGGCCAAATCCGTAATGGGCCTGCTAAAAAGGTCCTCTTAGAGACAATGGAGAGTTATAAACCTGAAAAAGCCAAATTTTGGTTTTGAACATAAACTGATAAACACATTACTAGATATCCTAAATTTACATAGGATCTACAATATTTCAGTATAAACTTTGATTTTTCAATACTACAAATATTGTTCATATTCTCTTCTTAGTTCATTTTTATTTTTAAGAAACAAATTTTGAATGATAATTTGAATAACATTTTGCTTAGTATTTTGTTAATTACATGGTTTACATACTAGATTCTATTCTTTGGATATATACATTCAAAAAATCTAGAGAAAAAAACATTAATAAACAAATGGGGAATTATAAGTATTGTGAAGATTTAATAATAATCATAGTCTGATAATTTAAGAGATAATTTTGGTTTAGAATTACATATTACTTATCTTGTTCCTTTTAATTAATTTTATTTCAACTTAAATATTATTTATCAATAAATTTCAATATTAAATCATGTAATTCTTAATTTTTAACCTTTTATTACTCTCGAATGATGTTTGAAAGCCCATATCCATAAAGTCAGATTCTTTAGTTGATGCAGAAGGAATCTTGCTACTTGACTTAACTTAATCAAAAAGAAAAGCAAAAAATTAATAAAATAAAATCATAATTGTCAATACAGTCAAACTCTGCTTATCCAGATCAAATGTGAATAGACCCGATCCAGATTAACAAAAATCCAAATACACTGAAATTAGTGGGGGAACTGAAAATAAAGTCTAAAATTCATAATGAAAATACTTTTTAATGATTGAAAGAAAACTTACAAGCTTCATTGACATGGAAAATAACAAGAAGATAAAATTGATCATAACATACAAGCAGTATGTATTTTTATATTTGAAAATGTGAGATTGCTATGTAGGTAAATAATGTTTAGTAAACATTGCAAAAAAATGATAAATTTTCCAAACAAGTGTAAAAATTTAAAAAACTACTATTCAAACTATTCAGAAAAGCAGGATCTGACTGTATTTATTTATGTAAGTTATGATTTTGAACTTAATTATGACTATAAATAATTATATCTTTAGAACTTTCTAAATAAACTTAAGTCATTACATTTCCTTTATCTGTATTTATCTTTACATAAAATTAGCAGTAATAATTCTATTTCTAATTACTATAAGAAAAATATAATATACAGAATTTTATGAGATTATATCTCATTGTTACATGTTATAACATGATAAAGAGAAAGTAAACTTTAACTTGAAAGTTGTTTCTTCAGAGTAAGATGTTGTTATCTTGAATTTGTAGGGATTCTGGAACTCATGTGGAATGAATAGAGAATGGTAGTAGTGGTGAAACTCTTTCCATTACATAATGTTAATAAAATATTCAGGAAGTGGGCTCTTTGTGAGCTTTCTTCTTCTGGTAAGAGAAGGACTTACGGGTTGTTGTCAATGTTATGTAGGAATTCTTAGAAATTATGTTTCTGTCTCCATATGGCAATGCTGTCAGTGCTGCCAGTGGTACACTCAGGATTTACTTTTGGGGAGCCAAGTTGAATGGATAAAAAAATGTTTAATGCAAATTAAATAAAATTCCCATCTTATGGAACTGCTAATTCATAAGTAGTATAGAAATAGAAGACACCACAGAATATAAATACAAAAATTAATTTTAACTAGGAAAAGATTTTTGGAAAATTTTCTGCTGTTTGTTTTCCTTTTATTTGGTGGTGCCAGGGCTTCTTAGTCCCCCTGGACACCACTTTACTTTACTTTACTTTATTTAAAGAATAGAAGAGCTGTCTGTCATTTAGTGGCAGACTTTGCTCTATAGAGATGGAAGGAGAAGGTAAGGAAAAAGAGACCGAATGTGAAATAACGGGAGATAGGGGAGTGTGAAGGAAGACATGGAGAAGGGGAGGTGGGGGGAGAAGCGGGGATTGTTAGAGAGTATAAAGTTTAGAAAGGAAGGTAAATTTGCGATCATATAGACAACTTATACCATATTTGTTTAGAATACAAATAGATATACAGAGCAGAGCGCCGTTTTGGCGGCCGATGATGATAATATACATACTGATAGATATGGTACATGTTGATACACTGATGGAACAGATGTAGATATACAAATCAGACGAGTAGAGATGTGCAAAGGGAATCCCGATGGGGGTCCGGTAAAATGGTATTGGACAAGCCAAACAAACAAACAACTTTAACCATTAACTAGACATAGAATACCCTACAGCTGTTAGACACAATTCCAATAACACAGTCACAGGACGGCTAGAGCCACATGTGGTGGATTAGGGATGAACAACAGACCGAAGAGATTGAGAACACAGTAGAGGGCCCCTGCTAGGGGTGTCCTGGACACCACTGAGTGATGCCATCTTTCTTCAAGATAGCATCACTTGTAGCATTGGTGAGAAGAATCTATACTTATTGTTCCAATGCCACCAATAGAACAGAAGTGCTCTATTATATCACACAAATTACCCACTGACATAGATACCATACCTAGGTGATTAAGGGCCTGATCAAAGAGCTGGACACCAACAAACTAAAAACTATTGTATGACAGTATGATCATACAAAACAATACAACCACATACTAAAGAAAATCTACAAAGACATTGTTGTATCTAAGCATGTTAAAGTAGGTTTTGTGAGGAATCCCACCAAATTCACCATCCTCAAAACTGCAAAAGCCCCTCCAGACAGGAAGCATACTCCAGGAACATACACTATCCTCATCAGAGACAACAGATTCAATTGTGAGACCCAAGCAATACTGAGTTCATGTGTTAAAAATATAATAAAAATGCCAAATCAAGGGATTGGGCTTTGATTCTAATGCTCGTAAAAATGGGAAAATAAACCTAAATAAATAAAGAATCTTCAAATACCGGATTAAAATACAAATATAATCCTTCATCAAACTCTTTAACCGGTATTAAACAAGAGTAAAATTACATGCAAACAATTTCAGATCCCTCCCTGGGTCCTTTCTCAAGCAACTATTCTTCTTTAAAATTCATTAGAACGAAGACCAGTAGAAAGAACTTCTTCAAAATGCAATATTCGAAAAAATTACTTCTTCAGAACCACATTTCAAAAGTCGAAATTCAAAAATCAATGTGAATCACGTGCATTCCAGTATTCTGAAATGATGCTTGTCGTATTTTCCATAGCAAGCATTTGGGGAAATCGCCTCGCCACCATTTTATAAACAACATGTGTCCACTCTGGACAGAAGTCACTCGTGAGTTGGAAGCACATACAAAGATTCTTTCTGTCCACAGTCACTGGACGCTGCCACATAGGATGTAGCCTTATAAATCTACTCACAATTCACATAATGGGGCGAGGTCGGCCAATTATCTTGCAGGCAGGCAGCTAACAGTCCATAACCAGTCCTGGATAAGATAAGTATAAAGTTAAGTAGAGGGCTGTCTGTTCAAGACAGACTTAGCCCTATAGTAAGGAAAAGAAGTGAGAAGAAAAGTGAAAGTAACTAGATTAAGAAAAAAGGAGGGAAAAGAAGGCAAGGGTAGGGTTCCATGGGTGTTGGAACCGCATTTATTAAAAACAGAAATAGATACATAAATTGGCTACAATGCCTAATACAGATTACAGTATTTACATACTAATTGATTCTGATACAATTTTAGAATACAAATGGTTACAATAGTTTATACAACAATCAGGTTATAGAATAAACAAAAAAAATTTTTTTAGTAGTTTTACAGAAAACAGCAACTTGGTTACATGGCTAAAAGATACAGTATTAACCTTAATTATCAATTTATATTTTAAATACAAATATTAAAACAAAAGGTTACCATGGTTATAATTCCTTATAAAAACATAGTTTTCCAAGATGAATTTAATATTTTAGATACAGACAAAATGGCTACAATGACTAAAAACAATGTGAACATTACAAAAGTGAAAACAAGTGGCTACAATGCCTAGCAGAGAAACAGTATTTACATGGTGGTCTGTTCATTTTAGAGCTCATCTTCGCTATTGGTGAAACTTTCATCACTGATATCCTTGCTTCTTTTGTCCTCAGAATCAGGTAGGTTGTTCCTGGTGTGATTGTTCACTGCTTTGCAAAGGGATTGCTAGTTACCCAGTGTTTTTGATGAATTCAGAGAGATGATGCAAGAGGTCCTTGTTGTTGAATAGGTCATTTTCCTTTGGAGGCCAAGTCATTCCCCGCATTATGCATTTCCTGTAAAGCTGCTGCCGTTTATCTTCATAGTTAGTACAGTAGTATAAGAAATGCGTTACATTGTCTTCAATGTTGTCGATCTTACATGTTGCCTTACTGAACCTGAAAACATACAACTCAAAGTTTCCATGCCCAGTGAAGCACTGGGTGATTTCATAGTCCAGTTTAAATGTCTTATTTTTTTTTCCTATCCTGTATCCTTGAAGTTGTAACAACTTCTCCCAGTGGTAAAGATCTCCCACTCCCTTTGCCACAGTTCATCGACAATTTTGTGAAGATGTTTGTGTATTTCAGTCTTTGATACCCTACTATACGTAATTTTGGAACCGGTAGTTGTAGCTTTTTTTGCTAGTTTGTCGGCCCTTTCATTTCCCTCATGTTTGCCATGAACTTCGATCCATTGTATAGTTAAGTTTTTTGTGCCTGATATTCTTTGGGCTAGCTGTATTGTCTCCTTAGCTAATGTTGGGTTTTTCTTCTGGTTTTTTAAAGTATGTAACACCACCCTACTGTTACTTCTATCGTTTCTTTGGAGTTGTTCATTTTGGTCTGAATGTAGGCTAATGATCTGTTGACAGCCCACAACTCAGCTTGGTTTATGGTGCAGTGAGGAGCTATTTTTAGGCTCGCCTGATAGACATGTTTACCTTTATTGTTTGTGATTATAATGCCTGCTCCAACTCCAGTTGTTGTCTTGGAGCCATCAGTGTGGATGATCCATTTTGAGCTTTTACTTTTTGTGTTTGTCGTCTCGAAGATAATTTTGTACCTGTTTTCGTCAGATGGGTGGATAAACTGTTTGTAGTTCTTTTCTTCTTTCTCTATGTTGTGCTTTTTGATGTCCTCTATCCATTGCTCACTATTGGGTGGGAGGATACCATTTTTGATGTGTTGTTTTGTTGTTTCCTCATTGAGGTCTTGCAGGTTGATGTTTGTTGTGTACTGTCTCCACACCACTTCCCTCGTTCTAAGGTGTATTGGGAGCAGGTTGGCCAGAACACAGATAGCATCTGTCAGTGCTGTTCTACAAGCCCTACAGACTTTAATGGTTGTTCTCTGTTGGATTGATAAAATTTTTTTCTTTACGTGGATGTTGTTTAGGGCTTCCTGCCATACCTGGACTCCGTATAAAATACCTGGCTCCACTGAGGCCTGATAAGTTAGTCTATTGTTTCTAAAGTTCAATCCCCATGTGTTTCTTGAGATGTGTGACAAGAGGATTGATTTTTGAACCATTTTTTTATACATGCTATTTACATGATCATGCCAGTTGATTTTCCTAACTTTATAGTATGTGTATTCCCAGTTGCCTTTTAAGTTGGCCTGCTCCCATTTTTTCGTACATACCAGCAATTCACATTTATTGTAATTTAT